CTTCTCATGGTAGATTTATTGTACGGAAAATGTGCATAGATGGAATTGCAATACTACTAATCTTGTTACGTTCATCTTTATGCATCGTTTGCTTAGACATAGACAAGCTTTTAATCCAAGCAGTACAAAAATCCAGTTCGTTTTAAAAGCGAAATTAACTCTGTCTGTTTAGACTGGTACTTGATCCTTGTGAGTTTGATGCACTCGCTTTATGCGTTTCATAGATGTGTTATGCATATTTCCGATCACAATAGTTAGTGGGGGGCGGGGGACTGACTGCATTGAATTTAAATTTTTATTCTTTTCTATATTTTTACGCATTTATTACAATTGACGGGAGCTTGCCTTTATACAAGCGTAAGGAAGCATTATTGCCGGTTGACTGTCCTTATCAATTAGAAGTTTTGCTGAATTCAAAAAAAAAAAAAAAAAAAAAATGAAACCTATTAACGCATTTTTCAATTTTCTAATCCATGCAGTAGAACGGCGAAAAGCAGTATTTCACAAGCAGTTCAATGAGTCCAGGATATTACAAATGAAGCGATGAATACTTGCAATTACGGAGCGTTAGAGGCGTTTAAAAAAATATTCCATTCTGTATAGAGGTGCGTGACAATGATTCGGCTTAATTTGTATTTTTCATTTTAATAAAAGAATGTATTCAATAAGAGTTTAGGTTTTATTTTGTGGGCAGTTTATCATATTGGTGAAGCGTGCCAACATTAAACCACATATATATATATATATATATATATATATACATATACATATGAACGCATATAACCAGACAAGACTTTATATATTTTTTTTTTTTGGTTTTTTTACAAATCTGTGAGAGGCACGCTATCCTTACGAAACATTTAAAACCCGAACGACGCGGTGATAACAGTTCACGTATGTGTAGTGTACGAATGGTATGAAAGTGTATACGATTAGCAGTAAAGGAGAAAACCGCATGTTTTACTGCTCTTGCTGTTGCTGTTATTGTTGCTTATATTAAACTAATAATCTCTGGCTGATCGTTTAATTTTAAGCAAATGCTTTATTAGTCGGACATAACGTGCATATATATATATATATATATATATATACATATTTGTGTTTACGACTGCATTCAAAATTTTTGTATAACCAACACAAATAGGAATTTCCATTGAAAATATTTAATTGAACCGACAACGTTTATTTTGTTTCTCGTATAGCCGTTTTGTTTATTTATAGCTGTTTTTCTCGAGCATTTACTTAAATGCGAAGTGCTTAACATAAAACCCCAGAAAATAACATCTAAAACCCCGTTTGCGCATTCTGTCGCTTCAGTTTGTGAAGAGGGCTAGCAAATCAACAGTTGCTCTCGTGGTTGATTGTATTGTTGTGGCGTAAAAATCGTGTGTCGACCACGTGCCATTCATTGCGAGTGTTTTTCTTTTTTTTTTCTTTTTTTTTTTTTCTTATTTATTTATTTATTTTTTTTGTTATTTTGCGTTTTCTTTCGACTGCCCAATAAATGCTACAATCAACGACGCCTTGCGCTCTTCTTATTCTCTTTTTCTTTACTAATACTACTACGACTACTACTACCACTACTACTACTACTACTACTACTACTACTATTACTGCTGCTACAGATATGAACATATAAGTAAAGTGCATCATAAACTATATTAAAAAGCACCTTGCACTCCTTTATTTATCGTCTTCCTTCTTTTTAGCTGTGTGCGTATACGTGTACATAACATTAACAATTACGTCTTTTAAATAATACAAAATTTTGTCATATGACTTTTCGACTTCTAAACCGCTTTTTCCATTCATAATGCATATCCAAGTTATGAGGGCATTGGCATCTACCCATTTCCCAATTTTAATGCAATGCGATAAAAAAACTGTAAAAACTTTTTCCAATCTGTTAGGAAAGATCGAATGTGTAATGAAGTGTAACAGAGATAGTTTTAGTTTTTTATCTCAATGAAAATAAAATAAATAATTTTTTTTATTTTTTTTAAGCAAGCATTACTATTCAACTTTCCGCTCGTATATTATTTAATGTGAGATTTTGAGTCAACTCACTTTTTAATATCGTTAGTTGTTGTTGGTATTTTCAAACTCATCACAATTTCATATCTGAAAATTAAGACTTATAATATAGAAGCAAAAAATAATTTATTCTGGAGTAACGCATATACACGCGTCTGTCCTATAACACGATAATTGTAAAACGCGGTTCCCATTAAAAACATTTACGAATACGGTTCACGATTTTAAAATATATCACGCTTTCAACAAATCGCATATGTGTTCCGGGCGATTTTTTTGTACCCTACACCACTTATGATACAAGGTATGTAACACGCAGAAGCGCTTAACACAGACTCACCTTCAATTACACCGGTCGATTCAGAAACATTTTCTAAATTGATCTAAGCCCGCCTGTCTGTCCATGTAAATTTGTGTTCAACCTACATGTTAGCAATATTTGAGATATTTAGATGAAATTTGTTACATTTGCGTGTTTTTGGTCGAATGTGGAACAAAAATGGTTCGGATAGTTCCACTTTTTCGGCCACTTCCCATAAACCGCCTTATATTGAAATGATTGACTGAGGAAATTTTTTTAATCCTGGATTAACTTTTTCTCTACAAGCCCGTCTATATCGATATCAAATAAAAGAACTTCGAGAGTAAATATAGATGGGATAACGGTGATGGGTATAAAAGATTCGGTCCCGATCAAACAAAAATTTTTTTATTGTTTTTTTTTTTTTTTTTTTTTTTGTTTAAATAATAAAATGTTGAACGTACCTTTAGAACTGAATGCGGAATAGAGTATACTTTTGCGATTTGAATTCAATTCATTATAAATAGATACCTGTTATATATTAAACATACTTGACAGTATCATACTTTACGCATTACGTAACTATAATGCCTTAATTGCTATAAACGTTGCAATTGAAGCCTAGTTTTAATAGAAAGCAGCAGGTTTAGTTTTACGCGCAAAATTTTGTTTTCACTTAAATTGCGTCTTAGACTAAATCGCAAATTGGACATATTGCTGAAATTTAGTAATTAAAAATAATTTTATCCCATTAAATTTGTAACTAAAATATATTGTAGTTAATAATACATTTTCTACAATAAATTGTTTGTTATATTTTTTTATTGTAATTATACATATCTATCATGTACAAGAGAGCTTATAACATAAGCAAGTACATAATGCGACTGATAGTAATATCCTGCTGGCTGGGCAAGAGAAATTGATGTGGTTAAAATTGTGGTGGATTTGTTTCCAAACTTATTCAGAGAATCATCTAAGAATTTTAAAGTCAAAAATAACGCATTCCATTGTCAGACCGCACGGAGCACAAAAGATGGTTTCATTAAGAAGATAAAAATACGTGGCATTAATATAAAAGGATTCGTATTTGATCTTGAAAACTGTAATCGGCTATATTAAAAACTTGGCCAATTTAGATCGGACGGTTCTGTCGAAGTCGATTAGCGTTTTAAAGAAGACAGCATGAATGAAGAAGGAAACGTAATGTTTGAGTTTTACATCCCAAAATTTTGAAATGTCATGTAATACGACGTGCAAGCGGAACAGATTTTAATATAATAAAATAGATGACATGAGATATGAGAAGAGAATGCGCGCCAGAAAATCGAATTTAAGGAAGCAAATGCATATTCAGATGGTAGCGTAAGGCAAATGTTTCGCAAAAATATTGTCAATGTGGGAGCCACAAGGTTCACTTTACGAACAAGCGTTACCCCAAAATTTTGCATTGAATTTATAAGATGTGAATAGAATAATCATTATTACATTCACGCCGGGAGAATGTAAAAGAAAAAAATCGTTTACCAAAATGTGTTTAAATTATATACAAATGTGTGCTTAATTAAGAAATACACTACACAAACTGGAATTGGAACTGCATTAAAATATTCAGTTAAGCTTTCGTTTTGGAAAATCATCCGAGTCTTATAAATCTGCGAAAACGCTCAGACAATTGCGTACAAGGACAGGACAAGATGGTAATAAGTCGAAGATTATTATATATGAACGGCGAGATCTGTTTAGAAATGATTTACATTCGCATTATTTTCTCTCTTTCAGGATATGTTAAGAATTACGTAATAATTGGTGCGATACGCAAGGAAGAATCACACTAACAAGCTTCATGGCTAGCGTCAACTAAATTAGATGTTAGCTTGTGAACTGCACTGTAAAAGATGTCTTCATTAAATTATAAATTAGGAGATACATGTTTTTAGACAATAGCATTTTATGCATTTTACAATGAAAATTGCATTGCATTGCATCATCATTGTACTGATCTTTGAAAGGGATAAGTTCTTATTTTCATAAGAGACCGTTTAGGTAGGTTAGATAGGTTTTAACTCCTTCATCTTCTATGCATTTCCCGTGAGGTCAGTTATTCCTCAAGTTAGCCACTTAGGAAGACCTCCGCTTGGCGATTAAGTTAAACCATATCTTATTGTACGCTCAGAATGTTATACTAATGTCTTCCTGCAATCCTACGTCTTTCAAGCTGATTTCGATAATTTGCCTGCATTATGCGCACAGAACGAGGGTTTTACTTAACGAAAGACTGCGTTTTCGTTTGAATATAGAGCTCATTGCAGTGCTGGGCTTCATTAAGCGGTGGTCCAGAGATCGATTGGCGATCGATTACTTCTTGTATATACATACACCAGTGGTTGGCATTCAATAAGTAATTGTAAATTAACAAGGGTGTAGTTAAATAACTATATGTCTCTCCTTTAACTCTTTCTCACTTTTCGAAATGTCGGAAAGGTGCGCTAAATTAACAAAAGTTTTATGACAATATCATCATAGTATCGTTGGGTATATATGTTTTCGTATACGTTTCCATACCCCGATAATAATAAGGATATTATTGAATTCCGATGGCTTAATATATTTTATAAAACTAATATCATTAATAATAAATAATTGATTTTAAAGTTTCGACAAAGTTTTAATTAATTTGTTGTTGCGCCTTGAATTTACCAACAAAAGATTTTTATAACTATTCGTATATATACATTTGAAGCGTATTGGCATATTTGCAATTGTGAATTAATGAATTTTTCATTTAAGTTTATCGAATGCTTCTCTTAACATCTGATTGCACAAAGCAGCAAATGGATTTATCTCGACCAGCTATAAATATGTAAATGATTCTATGTTAGTGTTTATGTACATAAAATTATTTCAATAATGAAATGTATCATACCTGGGTCCTGGCAAATTGACTTCCCATTTTAGCAGCTTCTTCAAAGTCAATTTTAGCATCACTTAACTTATCCTGTTTTCGATATAAAACGCCTCGTTGGCATAGAGCATGACATTTAGTTTTAAATTGCACATCCGCATATTCAATGGCTATATTGAGATCTTGTAAAGCTTCTGTAATTAAAACGAAAAAAAAAAAAAAACAAAACACATAAGATAGATTGTCTGCCTGTCATATAGTGAAAGAGTAAATAATTCATGTGAAAAACTCCAGTTATTAGAATTTTATGCATTTAAAGTATATAGTGATTGCGTTTCGGATATAACATGATGTCGATTTTTCAATGTTAATGTAGTAAGTAATTTGCTCTAATCTCATCTCCCATGATTATTGGTCAAATCTGCAAAAGTCTGCAACCGTGTGATAACCTTCCTGGATGATAGGGAAAGAAGACTTTTAGTCTTAGTTAACGACTAAAACACTATAATTCGATTGTGCAGACAGCTAAGAAAGCCAAGGCAATCATTGAAAAGATTCATTGCATTGTTGAACGACAATTTCTCCATTATTTTTGCAAAAAAAAAAAAAAAAAAATAAATAAATAAATAAGTAACGTAAAAAGTAACACACATCCCATAATATCTTATTTATAGCAAAGATTGTTAAAACAATGTGATAAACCTGAAGGGTTGTTTGTTTGAAACGTGCCGTGCATCTTATTCAGTTTTGCTTGTATTTAATAACCTTGAACATTATTTGCATGACGCGTCATTTCATTACTTTTCATGGGTCAAACGGATGCCATTGTTACTCCGCGCTTGGCATATATCGATACTTTCTTTTGTATCGTCGAATGGATTGTACGTCGACCGCAAACATCAGGTAATCGTCGAATTTATTAAATCCTAGGCCTAACTCGATTATCTCTTTAAATCGGTTCGCTTTCAATTACCACCAAATCTTCTTCACGTTTAACATTGCATAATTCCAAGATCAGCTTAGCACAATCTACTGGTGGATACAAATCCAAGTAATCCCGCTTAATGGAATGTAACATCGCTATCAACATTCATTGTTTTTTTGTTTAGCTTTATTGGTTTTTTAACATTACATTTTAAAATCTATTATTAAATCAGTTATTCTACGTCTTAGTCAAGGGATTGCCTTAAGTGCGAATAAATGCAAATTTCTTGGTGATATTTTAAAATAAGAAAAAATTAAAGAAATAAATACAAAAATTTACAAACACTATTAATCTCATATATATATATATATATATATGCTAAACTTGTTTTGAAAAATTAGATGAATCCGTATAAAAATGGAGTAATTGTCTAGTAATTAATTCATACCTACCTTCATCTCTTCCAGCCAAACGCAAAGCTTGAGCCCGGTTATTATAAATTGAAGCTCGATTAGGTGTTAGGTTTAAGGCCTCGTTAAACATCTTTAAAGCTTTGTCTAAATTTTTAGCTTCGGCGAGTTTAACACCTTCCAATTCCAAAAGTTTTGAATTTTCTAAAATTTTAACATCACAATTCTCATCATCGTTGTCCACTAAAGGTATCGATGAATCGGGATTTATATCTCTTGGTGCCAAACTAGAAGTTAATTCCAATGGATTGAAAACTGAATTTAAAACTTGTTGATCGTGTTCACTTAAACACGATTTTGTTATAGTTTGAGGCATTCTCACTCCTTCTAATTATTAACTCTTAGGCAATTTCGAAAGCGACAATTGCTGCCAGATGGACTTGCAGTTTATTGAAAACTAATTGTGAACGTTTTTGTTAATCAGTTTACAACCGTTTTAAAAAAAATTTTGTTTGCTTTCTACGCCACATATTGTTTTGCTTTCATTTCATTTTTTTTTTTTTTTTTTTTTTTTTAAATTGCGTTGTAAGCGATATGTAAATAAAGCCGATAAACCGGTTGCATTAAATATAAATGAAATTTTTTTTTTATTCAAATAAACTCGTAACAAGAAGCAGTGACGTGGTACTTCTTTAATGCAAACATAGTCACGAGTGAGTGAGTAAGCAAGGCAAAAGAAAAAAAGAAAAAGCTATTCATTGCTATTTTTTAAATTGACATTTTTACACCTATCGTTCGCTGCCAAAACGGTGCCACCTTTGTCAATCAATCTACAGCATTCAAAGAGATATCAAAGATGGCATAAACGACACACGTTCTTAATACAAGTGGATCGATGGTGAGGAGGCATCGTAAGCCGTTTAAAAAAAAATTTTTTTTTTTTTTTCTAAATATCATACTAATATCATACTTAACGTTTCTATTACTTTTGGTGTCTAATATCATTTAAACGGTCGCTGGTAGGAACGATAGAATTGCAGGAATTTCTCGTTCGGTGTTGACGCGGGCTTCAACATTAGCATCTACCAATCAGTTCAGATTAGTTAATTATTCATGTCATGAAATTCTTTTAGTTTAGTCAAAGAACAAGAGTACTATAATCGGGCAAGGTCGACCAGCACTCTACACTATATCGTCTAATACAATCATCCGCTTATTTTCTTAATAATATATCAAACATTATGCATTACTTTTATGCTTAAATGTTTAATTTTCATGAAAACTCTCTTATTGGAGTATACTTAAACGCCAACGTGGTCTAAATTTGCCAAAATTAATTTACTTAGGTTTATTAGGTTTTCTTGTTTTTCAGTCGTTCTTCCGTCGAAACAAACTATATATTAGCCATTATCGCCATAGAATGGTTTGCTTTCATTCGAGCCTCTATGTATTCCATGTTTCTGATACTCTATTCCCTCTTCATTGGCAGCATTCTATCAAAGACAAGGGTGTCAATCATTTAAAAAGGCTTGAAAAAAAAGTGTTTTAATTTAATGTGAAAAGAGCAATCATTGGAAAATATTTTTGTTACGTCAGATGAAAAATAAATTTGAAAACTTTAAACTTGATTAACTTTCTAACTACGCATATATAAAAATATTCATCTAAAAATTAGCATTTTTCTAAGGAAATTTCTTGAATAGTCCAACATTCGGGCACTTTTCTATCTGATCATTTGCGAATGCCTTGTTATTTAAATAATTTTATAAAGTTGTGCAAGAAAACGTTTGATATTCCGAAGGAAACCAGCAGAACATATTGAAAATCATCAAAATATACTTAAGATCCGGTGAAAAGGGTTTTGCATCGTGAGAGAAGAAACTGGTATTCCGGCACATTTGTAAAGAAAACAGAATTGTACCTTCTCGAGGCGTTTCTAATACTCTATTCCCTCTTCAGTGGCAGCATTCTATCAAAGACAAGGGTGTCAATCATTTAAATAGGCTTGAAAAAAAAGTGTTTTAATTTAATGTGAAAAGAGCAATCATTGGAAAATATTTGTGTTGCGTCAGATGAAAAATAAATTTGAAAACTTTAAACTTGATTAACTTTCTAACTACGCATATATAAAAATAAAAGTTCATATCTATAATGCCTTTGTCAAAACACCCAAAAAAAATGCCGATAGTAAAGCAGACGGCCGACAAAATCCCGTTACTGTTTCTACAAGCGAAAATCTCCCAAACGGTTATGTACCGGAAGAGCAAACGCAGGAAAACGTAAGCCCGTCATCTGCAGTGGCAACTGGAGCCGGCGTCGAATTGGGTATACCAACTATTGATCTTACGGAGAGCCCATCACGTGCTTCGAGATTTGGTCGTCAAAATGGCAACGATGAAATTATTGAAATTATTGATTTAACCCAGACACCACCTGATGACGATGTAATTTTTGTATCCGAAATTAATGACGTAGTTGATATACGTACCCCAGTTAGATTACAACGTAGAAGCAATTCAATCTCAACTGTATCACGGCAAGAACAAATTAACTCCTCAACTGCGCAAGCATCAAACAATAACGTGCAAAGGGCAACCCGTCGACGTCGTTCAGTAGACGATCAAAGCTCAATTTCATCGCTTCATGATCCTCGTTCACCATTTTCAGTAACTGGCGAAAAATTGGACAGCCCTGCTCGATTTTCGTGCCGTATTTGCCGCGAAACAAAGGTGAACCAACCAACGTGCACACGTTGCGGTCATGTTTTCTGCCAAAGCTGCATTCGTCAAGCAGTGAAATTTAACGGCCTATGTCCCATATGCAACGCTCCAGTTGCGCTAAGAGAGGTGTGCCGCATTTACTTGTAAAATTGCCTTTTTTTCGCCTTAATTCTTTCTACTTATATATGGAGTTTATTTTAAATATTGGTTAGAAGGTTGCCACTTTTTTTTTATATTCTTACCATCTACCATCTACACTTTCAGCCATACTTGTACGTATATTTCAAACAGTTTTCTTTCATTTTGATATACATATATATATATATATATATACATAATCATTGTAATATTGGAAACTGCAGACGCAAATAAATAATTCATTGGAGCCCACAGTTGAAAAACTTCAAGAGCTTGCAAAGAACGATGGAAACGAATTTTGATCAAGATATATTGAAAATCAGTGCAATACGTCTTAGGCCTAAGGTTATATGAAAAAAGATTCAAAAAAATCACGCTATCCGAGTCAAAGTTTTCATACAACTTTAGAATACCGAAACACTATTACTAAGCGATTTATGTCGCGAAATTCTAAAAATTACACCACGTTATAACGACTCAACAAAATAAGGCGAGTAGCCGAAAGAATGGTCCAATCCGAACCGTTTTCAATAGCGTTCATTTTCGGGTCAAAATACTTTAATTTACAAAATTTCATCAAAATATCCCGAAAATTGCGATCTGTGTGTTAAACACAAATTTACGCGGACAGATAAGTTGGGATCGATGCGGAAAATGACTCCGAGTCGATCTGTATTATAACAGGTGGATCTATCCCAACTCTTTCTTGGTGATACGAATGTCCGCACAAACTTAACATACTCTGTACCACAAGTAGTATAAGGTATAAAGAGCCACGGGACAATACCATTCTTCTTGGATCATTAATAAAAGTTCGGTCCCTTGGCTTTGCGATATATATATATATGTATAATTGATGAAATATAGCGATATTTTCCACTGGAACGAGAGCGTTTCTAAGTGTATATACCTAATCGCTTTTCGTCAAGTGATGATTAGGTTCGAAAATGTCAAGGCAATAGTAAGGGTCATGATTGGAAGCGAGTTTTGACAAACTATTTTAAATATTACAAATATTGTCGAATAGTGACAGTTATGAAATGTCCACCTTTCGATTAACTACGGCAATTGGACGGAATTCTGTGAGGAGTTAAGTGTCAATTTTCAAGTGTGACAATCTTTTTTGTATCAATCTGTATCTCTTACACCTACAAACTATTTTTTGGCCCAAAGACGAACGTAATTGAAAATGTTCAAGATCGGGTTATTTTGAAAAATCGTTGTATGAATAAATATAGGGGCGTGGTCTATTGCACTGTTATCATCTCATCATGTTTCTCTTTTGATTTCACCAATACTGATGAGTATTCTTTGGTAAAATTCGGACAAGGCAGTAACCTAAAAAATGTTTAATTCAATAAATCTGAAGCGGTATCGGTGTCATTCCAATCAGAATCTAGAGGGTCTTATTTGATGATACCTGCTAATCGTTGGATTTACAATATACATTTCAACAGAAGTTAAGAAGAATTATAGCTAAAAGAAGGTAGGAAAGAGGAGAAATATTGCTTTCTAATAAAAATCTAATTTTTTAATTTTTTAAAAACAATTTATTAAGTTTTTGTTTGTTTATTTTTTTTTTTATTTTTTTTTTTATATTTTTGCAATATTTTCTTCCTTTGAAATAATAGTAGTAATAATTATATAATTAGTCAATAATAATAATAATAATACAATTCTTTTATATTTAAATATATACTCTGTAAATACCAAGGATAATAATATTAACTTTTTTATTGAAATTTTTTTGTTTAAATATTAGTAAACAATTTTAATCTAATTAATTACATTATATAATAATAATAATAATAATAATTATCTTTTTGTTAGTAAATCAGCGCTTGTTTATTTTAATTTTCATTTTTATTTATTTTTTCTTCATTTTTATTTTAGCTTATTTTCCTTGTGTTTTAATTGTTAGCTAAGTTATTAATGCCTGCATTATAAATTAAACATATACTTATGTTTTTCATATATTAATTTTATTAATATAATAATAATAATTTAATATATATTACCTACGTATATATATATATACATATATATATATATATATACATCTCATATATAATATATATAGATATATACATATCTCTCATATATATATAGAGAGAGATAGATAGTTAGACAAACAGACACACACACCCACACACACACACACACACACACACACACACACACACACACACACAC